TGGTGAATCTCTTCTTGAATATTTCTTTATTATAAACTGTTTCTTTAATTCTTTCTTTGGGAATTGTCCTTTTAAAAACAATTCCACTTGGACATACCAGTCATATATAAATTTGATCACATTATTATATATTATAGATTTATAAATTAATAGTGCAGTAGATATGCTCTTAAATTATTATTTACAAGTATTAGTTCAATTCTATTTAAAAATAGTAATTATAATATAAATTATATTGTATAAGATAAGCATGATTGTGGATTAAAATATATTTATATTTATATTATATAAGATATATATTTATTAATTATATATCTATAGAATTCCATTGCTTAATTATAGATAATAAATTAGATTATATAGTTTTTATTAGTTTTACTATTAAGAAAATTATAAAATCATATTATCTAGAATATATAAAGTAATTAAGTAAACCAAAAAAGATTTCTGATTGGTTTAAATCTCAAAATAAATATGTGATAAAATTTGTCTATTATAAAAACTAAATTTTATATAAGATAAAGAAGACTTTAATTACTTATATCAATAAAAAATATAATATACTATAATATAAATCAATAAAAAACCATCTCAATTACAAAACTAATAGTTATAAAGAGAATAATTAGTGCAGAGACTAATATTAAGTTTTAGCATTATATTACAAATTATAGAGTACAAATAAATTTGAGAAAGATTTAAAGATCTCACTTGATTAAGACAACTTTTATAAATCAATTTATCAAACTAGTTAAAATAAGACAATAAAAGGCTATATGCTATTTGATAAATATAATATTATTAAATTATTAGTATATCAAAACATAATTATAAAATTTATATTATATAAGTTCAACCAATTTTTTGAGAATTGAACATAATAAGAATTTATTATGATATCTATAACTTAATTAAGATATACAGTGAATAAAACTATAATAATAAACATATTATAAGTTTTTGAAAAAATATAAAAGTTCTGTAGTAAATTTTAAAGTATTGCAAGTTTAAACAGAATAAGTCAAATTGGCAAAATAGTATTAATAGTGACAAAATTAATGTACTATAAGGAATAAATAATTAATAAATTATATATAATTGCTCATATAATTAAAAATATATTATAAAATAACTTGATAAAGATTTTTTCATTAGTTGAACAATAACAAACAAATTATTAGATTATAAGAAAAATTTTTTAAATTAAAAAAAAATAAAAAATAAAAAAATTAAATATACTGTATTATATTTAAATTTATATATATAAGATTTTAACTGTTTGTCCATTTTTTGCGAAATGAGTGGTCGATGATTGTATTATATGCCTTATAACCTAACAACCATCTATAAAATTTTAATGACCATTTTCATATTGAACCATCAGCAAATATAACTTATAACTTATATTATATGTAATTTGATGTACATTAACTTTAATAATAATAAAGGCATAAAATAATCACTTTAACATTTGTTTAATTGTATATTAATGATTGCATAAATTTTAATTAGAATTACATTATAATATTAAAGAAGATATAAATATTGAAGCTTCAAGATTAATAAAATGCTCTACGCTCTATATACATGTCTAATTCAGTATCACCAAAAGTCTACAATTAATATACCCATAGCCTTTCGTTTTTGTGTCATGCCACAAGTTTTTTCATGTTACCTACGATGCATCGGCATCACCTAAAACGTCATACATAATCTATTGTGTCTGCTCACATAGCCTTCATAAACTTTTCATTTTCTTAACTTCACATATAATATATCATCCTACAAAACAAGAACAAAGAGGCTGAAGCTTCAATATCATTTAAACTATCAATAAAATACTTTGTGCTCTATATTTTGCCTGTTCAAAGTGCTGTCTAATTTGGCACCACCCGAATCTACGTATTAATATACTCTTATAGCCTTTATAAACTTTTAGTTTCCTTAACTTTATATTATACTACATATAGATTTTCAATGTTATTACGACGTGTCAGCACCACCTAAGAGAACATCGTATATAAACCATTGCATCTCATGTATGCTCATATAGCCTTTATAAACTTTTCATTTCCTTAACTTCGTATATAACATCATTCTACAAAATAAGAACAAAAGGCTGAAGCTTCAATATCATTTAAACTATCAATAAAACACTTTGCACTCTATACTTTGCCTATTTAAAGTGCTGTCTAATTCGGCACCACTCAAATTTAAGTATTAATATACTCTCATAGACTTTATAAACTTTTCATTTTCTTAACTTTATATAATGCCACATATAGATTTTTAATGCTACCACGACATGTTGATGCCACCTAAAAGAATATTGTATATAAACTATTGCATCTTACGTATACTCACATAGCCTTCATAAACTTTTCGTTTCTATAACTTTGTGACATGCCACATATAACACATCGTCCTATAAAACAAGAACAAAAAGAAGCTGATGCTGCTCGACAACATAGAAAAAGAGTCAGGGAAACTGTTGAACAGCATCAACAGCAATGCAGAAGAGATGCTGATGCCCGACGTCAGCGTCGTATAGAACATTGGAACAATCGTAATGCTGCAGCTTACTACCAATGTAGTGCAAGCAATTCCTAGATGCACAATTTAGCCCGTTACTTTTTTGAAGATATGACTATTCTACATCAAATCGATATTACCAAATACACAACGTGTAGTCACTGCAATGTGCTCAAGCTTTCCATGGAAAGTCCTAGAATATGCTACTCCAATGGAAAGGTAGTGTTAGCAGAACCCGAAGTTCCCTTACTTCTGCAGAATTTACTTTCTAGTCAAGACAATACCTTAAAGAATTTTCACGACAAAATCCATCTTTACAATTCGGCATTTACCTTTGCTTCTGTTGGTATCAGGTTCGATCATAAGCTCACCAATATGAAATCCGGTATCTACACCTTTCATGTTCAAGGCTCATTCTACCACCGGATTGATTTGCTACTGCCAGAGTCCAGTTCCGAACCTCATTATCTACAGATGTATATATGGGACACTCAGAACGAGCTGCACCATCGAACAAACATCATTCCTAATTCCAACCTTAATCCAGCTATCGTTCAAGCTCTGAAGGAAATGTTTGGCGAAGTGAATCCATATGTTATTAATCTTCGATACATTTCCAAATTACATGTAAAAGATATTGCAAATCTAATTATGCTTATTCACACAGACATTCCCGGACTTGATCAAAGGACTCATAATGTCCCAACAGCTCCGCAAGTAGCAACAATCTGAATTGATAATAATGTGCCCCCGATGTATTTCAGAAGCATGATATTGTGTTACATACATGGATGAATCAGCTAATTCACATCTCCGAGCTCAATAGATATTATGATCCCTTGGTTTATCCGCTTTTGTTCCCTTATGGTGAGCAGAGGTGGGTTTTCTATCAAATTCTATATAGAGATATTCCCCTTGCACCTGAAACAACTAATATTTGCAAAGTTTCTAATGACGAAGATAATGATGAAGGTGAAGATGATGAGGATATGATAATGGCAATAATAGTATAAAATGACATAGAAAATTCGTGAGTGCAATGGAGTACTATGCATATCGGCTTCAAATTAGGCCTCATTTCGCTAATCTGCTTTTACGAGCAGGATGGCTCTTCCAACAATATGTGATCGATATGTATGTCAAAATCAAATCAAATCGCTTAAATTTCTATCAGCAAAACCAAGATAAAATCTGAAGTGAATTATATCAAGGCCTTCAGGATGCTGTCTTATGTGGAGATAACAATTCAAAATGTATTGGACGTAGAGTAATACTTCCTTCAATGTTCATCGGGGGTCCTCGCAACATGATACAACAGTATCAAGATGCAATGGCTTTACTGCGCATTGGCAGGCCTAATTTATTCATTACCATGACGTGCAATTCAAACTGGTCAGAAATCCAAGCCTTGATACTGCCTGGACAAAAAATTCAGGACCGTCCAGATGTTACAGGTACTTTTTTTCGTGCACTATTTCTTTTTAGCCTATTCATTGCATTGACTTCTCTTTATTTTAATAGTGCAAGTATTTCGGGAAAAGCTTCAAGAATTAAAAAAGAATCTTTTTGAGTGTGAAGTCCTTGAACATGTCATTGCACACATTCACGTCATTGAATTTCAGAAACGAGGTCTCCCACATGCACATATCTTAGTTATACTCCATCTAGAGGATAAACCACAAACTCCTAATAACTATGACACCATCATCTGCGCTGAGATACCCAATCTAGAACTAAATTCCAAAACATATGTCACAATTATTGCCAACATGCTACATGGACCATGCAGAGAGCTCAATCCCAATGCACCATGTATGATCGATGATGATATGGGACAAAAGCAATGTACCAAGGAATACTCTAAACAATTTCAGAATGAAACCCTTCAAGGAAAGAACAGTTATTCTATATACCGTCGCTGACAAGATGGTCGCCATGTCAAGCTAAGAGTAGGAGGTTGAACAGTTCTATTAGACAACCGATGGGTTGTTCCATATAACAATTTTCTTTGCATAAAATATAGTTGCCATATTAATGTAGAGATCTGTGCTAGCATAAAGGCAACCAAATATTTATTCAAGTATGTTTATAAGGGTCATGATAGAGCAATGATCGAAGTCACTAAGAAATCTCAGCATTGTGAAACACCAGTCGTAATTAATGAAATTTGAAACTTTGTTGAGGCCCATTGGATCTCAACCCCAGAAGCCATCTGGCGAATCCTTGGATTTCATATGAGTAGAATAAATCCTGGTGGCACATTCTTGCAGATACATCTTCTCAACCAATAAAGAATTATCTTCAATGAAAGTGACAATATAGCCAAGGTGATTACTGATCGAAATCAACGAACATCCCTTACTGAGTTCTTCGTAATGAATGCTCCAGATCCAGACGCAAGTAATCTACTCTATGTTGATTTTCCCCAACAACATACTTGGAATAAGACAATCATGAGATGGAAGAAACATTGACGTGGAAATTGTATTGGGAGAATATTCATGGCTCATCTAGGTGAAGGTAAATATATATAATTTTAATTTATTATTAATAAATATAAAGTAAATATAATGAACCATTTATCATTTAGATGAATAATACTATCTCCATTTATTGTTAACAAAGGTAAAAGGGGCCAAAAATTATAAGGAACTAAAGGTGGTAGATAATGTTTTATGTGCCACTTTCAAGGAAAGTGCTCAACACAGAGGTTTCCTAGAGAATGATGATGAGCACCGACAGTGCATGGCTGAAGCTAGGGAATTTCAGATGTCTAACCAACTACGCAATCTATTCGCAACGTTATTAGTCTTTGGAGATATTGCAGATGTACGTCAGTTGTGAAATGAGAACTTCAATATAATGATAGAGGACTTTGCATATAGAGGGATTCCAGAGGATCAACTTCAAATTCAAGCAGTCCTTCAAAGCCTGAACATATTTTTACAAAGACATATGAAGACTGTGGCAGATTATGATTTACCAGAATTATTTCTGGAAATAAATATTGGGGAACTGCCGAGAATACTTCTAGAAAAATCATCCTATCACATTACTCCAGAAGATCTTGCCAAAGCAAATATGTTAAATGAAGCCCAACGTGTGGTATTTGATGAGGTATTGGGCCTTATAAACTGAGGTGAAGGGGGTGTACTGTTTGTGGATGGTTCTGCTGGAAGTGGAAAGACTTATCTCTATGATTGCCTCCTTGCTCACATACAAGCCAATCATCAGATCATATTAGTGGTAGCCTCTTCTGACATTGCTGCATTATTATTATATGACGGACGCACTGCACACTCTAGGTTCAAAATACCTATTATAATGATAGATGGAAGCACAACATATAACATTGGAAAGGGAACTGACTTGACCAGATTACTTCAAGAAACTGTTTTGATTATCTGGGACGAAGCTCCAATAACATATCGACATGCTGCTAAGGCTGTTGACAGGACATTAAAGGATATCATGGAGAATGATCTTCTATTTGGTAGTAAAATATTTGTATTCAGGGATGATTTTCAACAGGTTTTACCTGTAATTCGCAAAGGCACCAGAGCTCAAATCGTCAATGCTGCTCTTAATAAATCCTATATATGGAGCCATATCCGTATTTTTTCCTTAACTACTAATATGCTAGTTACCAAAACAACCCAAGTTACTAATAATGAGACAAGAACATTCATGGTGTATCTTCTTAGAATTGATGATGGTATTGAAACTACAATAGAAGATGACTTAATTCGACTTTCAGATGAGATAATCATACATTCACAGAATAATGATGATCCCATTGATTTACTAATAAAAACCGTATACCTCAATCTCAACGAAAATACCTTTATAATGGAAAGAGCAATACTAACTCTATTAAACAGTGATGTGGATGTAATTAATGAGTGGATTATAACCAAGTATCCTGGGAAACAACATGTATATTACAGTTTTGACTCAGTAATGGATGACAATCTAAACCTATACCCGATTGAATACCTTAACTCCTTAACACTTCAAGGTCTTCCTCCACACACACTTATACTAAAAGTTGATGCCCCCATAATGTTACTTAGAAACATAGATCCGGTTAATGGACTTTGCAATGGGACAAGACTTATCTGCTAACAATTTTAAACATGAATAATTAATACTGAAATAATAATAGGGGAACATAGCGGTAAACGCATATTCATCTCTAGAATTCCTCTTTTGCCATCTGAAGATACTGGATTATCTTTTGTACTAAAAAGAAAACAATTTCCTGTATGGTTGGAATTTGCTTTAACCATTAACAAATCTCAAGATCAAACATTACCTTATGTTGGCTTATATCTTTCGCGACCAGTTTTCTCTCATGGGCAATTATATGTGGCTATGTCTCAAGTAAACAAAAAACATAACATTAATGTTTTCATTAAGAATGGCATGATTCAGGGCAGGGAAGGAATTTACACACAGAATATTGTATTTAGAGAAGCTTTGATTCTTTAAATAAAAAATATGTATGTATTATCTCGAAATAGATTGCTTAAATTATATAAATAAGACATTATCTAGAGTCAATCAATTAGATCACTTAAATTAGATAATCAAAAATTATGTAACGTTATGTCATATTTACATATTTGATTAATCATCACTATACAGACGTAAGGACATGCCTATCTGCTAGTAAAAGTAAATGATATTTTAATAATAATAAATAATAAAAATAGATAATAATTACTTATCCAAATAAAAAATATTAAAATTATTCAATTTATATAAAATATAAATCTACAATTTCAACCTTTTTAATATATAATTTAATATATTGTTGAAAAGTAAAATATTTATTATTATTAAAATTTTATTAATTTTAAGTAAAATTGAATTAAAATATAATGATTTTAAAACCTTAATGTTGAACTATAAAAAAAATAATTTTAATTTTAATTACTTGCTGTTGAAAAAATTATATTTTTAATTTCAAGCATATATAATTTATAAAATACACGATTGAACTCAAAGTATAGGCAATAACTATATATGACTTTAAATTCAACTACTTTATATTTATTTTATATTTATATTTACAGTATTTTATAAAATTTTACAATTAAAATTTTAGTATAAGAATTTTAAGGTTATAATTTCGAATTAAATATACTTTATGATTAATAAATATTTAAATTTTTTAAAATCTAAAATTCAGTCAATATAAAGTTTCCCAATTTACTGTACGTACCAAATATACTGCACATAAAAACAATAATAGATACTGCAAAATAAATAATTATCATTCTCTAAAGGCAGAACAACAGTTATTATTTACAGTATCACTAATGTAAAAATTTAGTATAAGCATATATAGTTGCTTCCAAAAGTTTGAGTTCACTTACTATGTTTTTATTATATATTTCAACTTTGACAATTTTTAAATCCTTAATTATACAATCAAAAATTATAAAATTTATATATATTATATCTTAATA